CGAGCGAGACTGGAATTATTAAAAAAAATATATAGCCTATAGCCCGCAAATTGTGTGTGAGCTGATTTCCAGCTACAAGGAGAAAAAGAAAAACAGATTAAAAAGAACAGGGATTGGGTGTTCTGCAAAGAGAGTTGGAGGTAATGTAGCATGGCAAATATTTTGCGGGCGTCGGCGACGTGTCGGCGATTACCTCAGATCGCGTCATTGATAATTCACACTGCGTGATTGTCACTCGCGTGAACGAGCACCGATTTGCCTCCGATTTCGGGCATTTGTTGACGATTTCGCAAAACCTGTCGGCGAGTGAAAAATCGGGCTAAAATCGTGCAGTGTGAACTCGGCATAAGGCTTGCTTGTGCATGCATGCGTGCGTGTGTGTGTGTGTGTGTGTGTGTGTGTGAGGGTGTCAAACACTGAGCTTGAGTGGTTTGGGTTATCTCATTGCAGGAGGCTGAGAGAGGGCTCCAGGGCCTAAGAGGGGACCACTGTAGGTGGACATTTTTGTTTGTGTGTCTGAGAAATTTGCCTTTGTTCTGGTTGTTTATTTAAGGGTGTGGGTGCTGTGAATGTTTCGAGCTTGTTAGGGCACTGAGGGCATGCTGTGTGTGTGTGTGTGTGTGTGTGTGTGTGTGTGAATGTGTTAAGAGGAAAAAGAAAGGGTATGTAGTGCTGGATGTTATTTTTAAGAGTGCTGTTGTGAAGAGCAATTGTGGAAAGCTATTACTCATTTGAGTGAGCAAATATGTGTGAGAGAGATTGTGTATGTGCTGTTACAACACAAATCACATCTCTGGAGTAATAAAGTGCAAATGTGTTTTCATCTCAGTGCTGTCTTTGTCTCTGAAGTGGGCATTAAGGATGTGAAACATGTTGTTTACATTGTGTAATGACTGTTAGCTTATTATATAAAACATTTATAAGATACTTAGCATTAGCTAACACATACCTGTCGTACTGTTGTTTTATACTGATTTATACTTAGTTTGTAGATTGTGTTCTTACCAGGAAATACATGAGAGGTTTTAGCAACAAGTAATTTGATTGTCCACACAGAAAGCAAAAAGTGCTGTGCGATGCTGTAATACAACATAATGTATATGATTAATAGTTGTGCGGAGCAGGATTTTAGACCAATGAGATTTAGGTGGAGCAGTAATACTGCATTGTATAGTATACACTGTGTATACTGCCTACTATTTTTTAAAGGCATTTTCAGTAGGTTTTTTTTTATCTATTAGCAGCCAATGAGCATGAGGACTGACAAAATACATTAAACAGATAATGTATCTATAGTTGTATGTAGTTAAACTAAAAAATCCTAATTTGCTCAACCTCAACTTGTTCCAAACCTGTATACATTTCTTTCTTCTTGTGAACACACACAAAAAGGATATTTTTAAGAAATTGTGTAACCAAACAAAGTTGATGGTTCCCATTGACTTCCATTGTAATATATATTTATAGAAATTGTAATATATATCATATATATATAATATGGAGGTTAGTGGGGTCCATCAACTGTTTGGTTCCCCATATTCTTCAAAATATCTTCTTTTATGTTCAACAGAAGAAATCTCATACAGGTTTGGAACAACATGAAGGAATGGAAGCCCGTTTCCGCCACTGACAAAAAAAAAAGGTAATTGCGAGTTTTTATCTTACAATTTTGTCTTTTTTTCTCACAATTACGAGTTTAATCTTGTAATTCGTGTTTTTTTCTCAAAATTGCATGATAAAAAAAACCTCGCAATTCTGACATTTTTTCTCAGAGATATGAGATATAAACTCGCAATTGGGAGTTATAAAGTCAGAATTATGAGATATAAACTCGCAGTTCTGACATTTCTCTCAGAACTGCATGATATAATCTTGCAGTTGTGAGTCCTAAAGCCAGTATTACATGACAAAAACTCACAATTGTGAGAAAAAACTCAGAATTGCGAAATTTAAATGTACAGTTGCAAGTTATAAAGTCAGTATTGCATGATATAAACTCGCAATTGCAAGATTTAAACTTGCAATTCTGAGAAATAAAGTCGCAATTCGGAGAAAGTCAGAATTGTGAGATATAAACTCACAATTCCGACTTTTTTTTCAGAATTTTGAGTTTTTATCTCGAAATTGTGACTTTTCTCAGAATTGCGAGTTCTGGCTTTATAAAATGCAATTACGAGTTATTAAGTCAGAATTGTGAGATATAGCCTAAACTCGCAGTTCTGAGAACATATGTCTTTTTCCCCCTAAGAATTAGATTTTAGAACTCACAATTGCGAGTATATATCTCACAATTCTGAGAAAAAAAGGCAGAATTGTGAGATATAAACTCGCATTTGGAAGAAAAAAGGCAGAATTGTGAGTTTGTATTATGCAATTCTGAAAAAAAGTCAAAATTGTGATAAAAACTTGCAATTACTTTTTTTTTTTTTATTCAGTGGCGGAAGCGGGCTTCCACATGGAAGGTGAGTAAATGATGACAGAATGTTCATTTTTGGATGAACTATCCCTTTAAGGAGGGTGAACTGCATCTACATAACTAAAACACTTTTTTATAGAAAACTATTTTGAGTATGTATGTTCTTGAGTGTATACCATTCAGATGACTCTACATTTTTAATTACTGAACTGCTAAATGAACATTTAAAATAGTAAGTAAACAGTAGTTGTTAACTACTAACCACTGAATAAACCTTTAAAATAGTGAGTAGTAGGCATTTTTCCATGAGAAACCTTTCAAACGCTACATTGTGACTTGACCTCATTATGTTTAATGCGAGTAACTATTAGTACACCATTCAGGGTTGAAACACATCTTTCAGCATTGATGATCATTTCAAAATAGCAGTGTATTCTGATTAAACATTATTGAACTAAATGTATTTGCAAGAAACATTTAAATCTAAGTTACATATTTATATTTTCATATAATAATATTTAAATATAGTGCTAGTCAAGCACCTGCCATTGAGATGAGTGGAAATGCTAATGGATATGGGAATGCTAATTGTCACAATCATGGCTAGTGACAAAAACTCACATTTACATGGAAGAGCTTTTATCGTTTGAGCTGCGGCAATTGAAGTCAGTTTTTTTATGCATGTGCTGTTGAATCGGGAATTTAATTATGAAGCTTAAGCTCTGTTGTGTGTATTTAATGCAAGATGCTTTTCAGTCACATGAAGCAATTCTTCTTCATCTCATGTCCGTTTCCCAGTCAGTCATTCAATCACTGAATCATGTTCTCTCAACCCTTATAACAGCACTTTTATCAAGCTCCCTCACTCGTGCCAATCGTTCCTACGCCTCTCATGTCTTCTCTCTCCGTCCCTTGCTCAGCTCCTCTCCTCTGTGGTGGCCACTTACGAGACAGGCGTGACCGTACATCCACACTGCCTTTTAGAGTTTCGCTACCCAGAATGCTGCAGCTGCGTCATTTGCATGGCAGGGTTTGGACCTCTCACTGGAGAACGAGAGTGTGGCTTTGAATTATTCATTTAGGGGACACAGGGAGGAAGACGAAAATTGTCCTCCTCTCTTTTTTTTCTTCGTCCCTGTCTGTCTTTTTCTACTCGTTGATGCTCTCATGAATTTGTCAGCTCCCCTTTTAAATCACGTTGTGATCTTGCAGCCGCTTGTTCAATAGTGTTTGAAGTGCTCTATTTGTTTAAGTACTCATGACTGTCAGTTGTCTGGGGATGATTGGTACTGTATTTAGTCTGCAGAGAGGCTTGGTCTCGGTGCTGCCGCAAATCAATGGTGACATTCTTCTGTTTTCTGGGATTTCTGTTGTTTTCAGTGTCACCATCTGTTCCCCCACTGGACTTTAGAGATGTAGCTATCAGAGGAAAAGCTCAAACCATGAGATCCAGTAGCAAATTTCAGCATGAAAAGCACATCACAAACACATCTGTACTTTATTGGTGGTGTTTACTATAGAACAAACCCTTAACCCCTTGTGAAAAAGAAGTACAGTTTAGCATGCTTTTATTATTACTGAAAAAACTGTAACAAGGGACCAATTCTCACTATTAAATTAGCATTAAATTAGTTTTCAGACACTTAATTGCATGTTATTTGCAATTAAATGAAAAACATATTATAATTAAATTTTATATTAAATGCAATTATCTGAACTTTAGAGTGCTTTTTTGACCCATTTAAATAGTACAACTTTATGTAATTTCACAATTACTTCTTGCCTTTGAAATATGGTTGTGTACTTACACACATTTCTGGCAAACTAAAATATACTTTAATGCCATTTTTATTGAAGCTTTTACATAATGTATTAAAATATATTTGTAATTACGCATTTGTAATGGAGTCGTAATTTAGTACATTTAAAATACCTTAACTTTAAATGTAATATTGAATAACACACTACAGGTAAAATTATAATCAAGTACTTTATATGTGCTTTAGTATGTAATTCTGGTGTAATACTTTAAAGCACAACAACATATTATTTCAAAATAATGATTTAATATATACTTTAAAACTTTCAGTTTGCACTTTTTAAAGTGTGCTTAAGAAACTTGTGTTTAAGAAACAGTCCTGAAAGTCTACTCTCTTAAGTGGCATTTTATTTCACTAATATTATATTATATGCAAGATTATCTGTACAGTTTTTTTTTTAATATACTTTTTATGATTTGAAATACACTGCAAGTACATATTCAATACAATTATGCACACTTCTTTTTCACAAGCAAATTATTCAACTTTGGCACATAATTCGTCCCTTATTTGCTCAGATCATGTGACTTATTTTGCAGACCGCACTGTTACTTTTCTAAGCAATCCAAATTAGGATTTTTTATAGGATTGATGATAAAATGGTGAAAAAAAAAAAGAATTCTGAGAAACTGAGACTCTACCCTAAATTATGTATTATTTCTACTGCATTTGCAGGATTGTTTTAGCATTTTTGGTGTATCGTGTACATGTTGCAATATAAAAAGCACTGACATGCATTTCCTTGTTTATTTTCCTTTGTCTAGAAATCGTTTTCTCTGGTGATCGAGGCTCTGGACCATGACAATGAAACATCAGAGGCAGGTATGATGATACGTGTGTGTCTGTGTGTGTGCGTGACTAAATAAAATAAAAATCCATGGATCATATGTGTCCTCACAGAAACGATTTGTAGCAATATAATAGCAGAGAGAAAGAAAGAATGAAAAGAAGGACATCGCCAACAACAGACAGTCAATCCGTATTTACCCCTCATGCTGTCTTCTGGGGATTACAAGAGAACTGAGTAATGCACGGGGTCAGTCTCCATGACTCTTTCATTTCCTGTGTTGCTTTCTGATTGTTTCTCCTTATAATTGAAGAAAAGCTCCATTACTGAAAATATGTTGCTGGATTTTGCACACACACAATCACACACACTGATTATGTTCTCATGCACAATAATGGTGGACTATTTAATGAATAAATTACACACATGTGCATGCTTCAGACAACACTGAGATACATTTTAATCACTTGGATATTGCCACTTCATATTCATAAATAACCAAACTTAATTTGTTTCTCAAACATGCAGGCGCATCTACTTCTCTCATCTCCTCTTTTGGTCTTTCTCATAAACTTTCTGTCTTTTTTCCTGAATTCTTGTTCTCTTTTAATGTAATTTTCTCTTCGTTTCTCTTTTAAATCTCTCTGTTTCTCTTCTCTCTCTAAATCTCACATTCTCACTGCCCTCCAGCTCCTGTCATGTCTTTTCATTTGCTATACCCATCCCTTCTCTCGTTCATTGGATTTACAGCTTGTCTCTGGTGAGGTGAGGCTTAGGTGAGCTGATCCGGGAGTTGAAATGACATGAGTTTGGAATTGTAGAGCCGTTTTTTTTCCTGCCAACTCTGGATTATAATACAGCCATGTATCTGAGTGCCAGATAGCTTTAACAAGCTTTAACAAAGTCCGTCCTGACCCATTGTGTCCTTGAAAAAGTCTTGAGAAAGAAAGGGCCAAGGACATGTGTTGTTCAGTTTCTCATTTATTTCATCATCTTCGAAACATCTTCTGTCCAGGGTTGTGCACCATTAAGAATTACATGAAGAATGACTTTAAATCGCAAGTAATTTTTTTTTTATTATAAAAATTCTGGAAATAAAATACAGAATAACTGAGCAAACATGCCGGAGAATAGCACTTTGTATTTTTTATTCATGGTAATATAAATAAAATGGGGTAACCCTCAAATAAATTCATATGACTGCTGAAAGTGTAATTTAATATATATATATGGTATGTATTACCCATAAACATACAGTATTTTTATACAACATGAGCAGGGCCATCCTTTGGTCCCGTGCTTTGAGGGGGCCCCGCGATTGAGAACGGACCAAGAGGAACCAACCCCAACCTCCACCCCCACCCCGGAACGCGATCACAAACGGACCAAGGGGGCCCCACTCCCTACCTCATAATTCCCTTGATCTATCTCTACTATAAAAACATCCTATAAGTTTCAGAACTCAAAACTTTCTCGTTAGTCTAAAAACAGCTTATATTGAAGCCAGTCTACCAAAATGACAGGTTGTGGAATGTGCCACTTTATGACGTACTAGTGCGGCTAAACACCACTTCCGTATAGAAGAAGATCAACACCTGCTTCTACATCGCTGCCTGTTTAGCCCCGCCCATCGGTTCACGTATGTGGTGGAATTAACGAGGGTGGCAAATGCAGGTCTACGCAGAAATAAAAAGATAAAGATGGCTTCGAAGGCAACAAGATGCTGTGCAGTGCCAAGTTGTGGAAAAACACCGTCTTTGCATTGCCCTTCTTCTGATCCCAACATTAGGAAAGAGTGGATAAACTGTATTTTTAACTTGGTCCTTTGTTCACTTCATTTTACCGCAGATTCTTTTACAAACAGAGCACAATTCGATGCAGGATTTTCAGAAAGATTGAAACTAACAGACGATGCTGTGCCGACTATATTGGATACGACAGTAATGTCGCAACACACAAGTGTAACTGTTTTTATTAAGTGATCACTATTGCTTTGTCTGTTATTACAGATCATTTGATATGTACTGAGTATTTAATGTATGCATTTTTAACCTAAATCACAGCAGTGTCCATCTGTGAAGGATGCAGGCTGTCAAACATACACAACTGTTAGCCAATCATAGCAGTGGGTGTTTTCTTCCAAGTCTACAATCTGCCACACCTATTCAAACAGAGTGTTCTGATGAGCGGGGTCAAAATAGGACAGAGAATAGCCTTCTTAGTTATGTTTTTTGATGTAAAAGTGTTGATAACATTATAAGGGGACCTCAGAGAACAGTACAAAATAATAAAAATGGCAGTTCATGACCTCTTTAAAGGTGACCTATTATGCCCTTTTTACAAGATGTTAAACAAGTCTCTGATGTCCCCAGAGTGTGTGTGAAGTTTTAGCTCAAAATACCCTACAGATAATTTTTTATAGTTTGTTAAAATTGCCACTTTTAGAGTATGAGCCAAAACGCCGTTTTCGTGTCTTTCCCTTTAAATGCAAATGAGCTGGTGCTCCCGGAGAAGAGGGCAGAGTTTCAAAAGCTCATGCTACAGTACTGTAGCAATACTGGTGCTGTCCTTTGCAAATAAACAGTCCACTATTAGTACGAGCATGTTATCTTTACAGAAAACGTACTCGGTTTAAAAGTCAGTCATCTGATTGCACCGTGCATAATAAATGCGCGTTTATGAATCACACAGACAGGAGCACGGCGAGATAAAAATGACGAAATAGCTGGTCTCATGGTGCCATCGCATGCTATTACAAACTTTACCAGTCCCACTTGCAGTAGCGTGTTTAGTTTACCCACCATGCAAAGCACGAGGGGGGAACACGATAGGAAATACGATTTCTCCCACAATCGCAATTTCTCCCGAGTAGGAAGGAACAATGGCGCTGACTTTTGCCTTGTCCAAATACCCACACTTGCGGTCTTTGCACTTGACCACTTGACTACTTCTATGACGTATTTCCTGTATTTGGTCCAAGTGTTCAAGTGAGCATGAAGACCACAAGTGTGTGTAGAACTTTTCATTACCTGATGGGACACACTTATAGTGTTGTAAAAATGCAAGTGTTTACAGAGCTTTATTTTTATTTTCAATACTTTTGCATTTTAAAATCAACTTCTAAATGTCTGTTCAGTAGTCCCTATATCAGATGACAATTTAATTTTGTGGTGCTTCTAGTGATAAAAAGCAGTTGCAAATGTTGTAAAAAGTAATTATCACCACTACTCATTTGCACCAATAAAACATGCAACTCTTTGTTTTACTACCAAATTATATGTAATATCTAATTATTATTAATATTTCACATACATTGGAAAGGTTTCCGTGACCTCTCACGAGAGCCTCGAATACCGCTCCGGACGCGCTCTCAAGTGGCCAAGACCGCAAGTGTGGGTATTTGGACAAGGCAATTGTATATCTCCAGTAATGGCGGACTGCTGCTTCTCACTCAGGGCTGTGTTTATGCTATGAAGCTGGGTTTCTGTGTAAGGACACCTGTGAGCCTGTACATCCGAACACAGAACAGGTGGCATGCCAGGATCGCTTCATTGTTCAAACGCAGAAAAATGCAAGGCACCCAGGGAGCTGTTGGGGGTTCAGTGCCTTGCTCAAAGGTCTCACCTCAGTCGTGGTATTGAAGGTGGAGAGAGCGCTGGATATTCACTCTCCCCACCTACAATCCCTGCCGGACCTGAGACTCGAACCCGCGACTTTTGGGTTACAAGTCCGACTCGCTATCCATTAGGCCACGACTGCCCTAATTGTAATATGCACACATCCAAAAATGCTTTCAAACAGGTATGTGACCAAAAAAGGCACAAAAAAGCAAAAGAATAAGTAAATAAGCCAAGTTACTTAATTGAACAAGTCACCACATTAAATTGTAATGGAGCACATGTAGCATTGTGCCAAAGTCTTTTTTCTTTGCTTTGGTTTGATTTGGTAATTGTTCTGACAGTATTAAACTTAGCTGAAATGTTTATTCAGTTAAAAAAGAATGTTAAAAAAAATCAGACAATAAATAGGAATAAATAACTATCAGTAAGTATGAACTTGAAATTAACTTAAAGCAGGGGTGTCAAACTCAATTCCTAGAGGGCCGCAGCCCTGCAGAGTTTAGCTCCAACCCTAATTAAACACACCTGATCCAGCTAATCAGGTCCTTTAGACTTATTTGAAAACTACATGGTATGTGTGTTGGAGCAGGGTTGGAACTTGATTGCGCTGTTATTTTATGTATACTCATTTTATATTTTTAACTGTTTTAAATTAATTTTAAATCAATTTTTTAATCATTATAAAAGTTTTTAAATTTCTTGTTTTATTGTTATGATTATTTTTTATGATTATTTTACTTTCTTTTATGTAAAGCACTTTGAATTACCATTGTGTATGAAATGTGCTATATAAATAAACTTGCCTTGCCTTGAACTAAACTCTGCAGGGCTGTGGCCCTCCAGGAACTGAGTTTGACACCCCTGATTTAAAGGGTTAGTTCACCCCTAAATGAAAATTAATTAATTCAAAGTCATTAATTACTCATCCTCATGTCGTTCCAAACCTGTAAGATATCTTCGGAACACAAATTAAGATATTTTTGATGGAATCTGAGAGCTGTCTGACCCTCCCATAGACAGCAACGCAACTGTAATGTTCCCAAGTCCAGAAACGTAGTAAGGACATCGGTAAAACAGTCCATGTGACATCAGTGGCTTAACTTCAGTTTTGCAAAGCTACGAGAATACTTTTAGAATGCAAAGAAAACAAAAATAATGACTTTATTCAACAATTCTTCTCCCCCGAGTTACCGTCGTTTATGCTATGAAGCTGGGTTTCTGTGTAAGGACACCTGTGAGCCTGTACATCCGAACACAGAACAGGTGGCATGCCAGGATCGCTTCATTGTTCAAACGCAGAAAAATGCAAGGCACCCAGGGAGCTGTTGGGGGTTCAGTGCCTTGCTCAAAGGTCTCACCTCAGTCGTGGTATTGAAGGTGGAGAGAGCGCTGGATATTCACTCTCCCCACCTACAATCCCTGCCGGACCTGAGACTCGAACCCGCGACTTTTGGGTTACAAGTCCGACTCGCTATCCATTAGGCCACGACTGCCCTAATTGTAATATGCACACATCCAAAAATGCTTTCAAACAGGTATGTGACCAAAAAAGGCACAAAAAAGCAAAAGAATAAGTAAATAAGCCAAGTTACTTAATTGAACAAGTCACCACATTAAATTGTAATGGAGCACATGTAGCATTGTGCCAAAGTCTTTTTTCTTTGCTTTGGTTTGATTTGGTAATTGTTCTGACAGTATTAAACTTAGCTGAAATGTTTATTCAGTTAAAAAAGAATGTTAAAAAAAATCAGACAATAAATAGGAATAAATAACTATCAGTAAGTATGAACTTGAAATTAACTTAAAGCAGGGGTGTCAAACTCAATTCCTAGAGGGCCGCAGCCCTGCAGAGTTTAGCTCCAACCCTAATTAAACACACCTGATCCAGCTAATCAGGTCCTTTAGACTTATTTGAAAACTACATGGTATGTGTGTTGGAGCAGGGTTGGAACTTGATTGCGCTGTTATTTTATGTATACTCATTTTATATTTTTAACTGTTTTAAATTAATTTTAAATCAATTTTTTAATCATTATAAAAGTTTTTAAATTTCTTGTTTTATTGTTATGATTATTTTTTATGATTATTTTACTTTCTTTTATGTAAAGCACTTTGAATTACCATTGTGTATGAAATGTGCTATATAAATAAACTTGCCTTGCCTTGAACTAAACTCTGCAGGGCTGTGGCCCTCCAGGAACTGAGTTTGACACCCCTGATTTAAAGGGTTAGTTCACCCCTAAATGAAAATTAATTAATTCAAAGTCATTAATTACTCATCCTCATGTCGTTCCAAACCTGTAAGATATCTTCGGAACACAAATTAAGATATTTTTGATGGAATCTGAGAGCTGTCTGACCCTCCCATAGACAGCAACGCAACTGTAATGTTCCCAAGTCCAGAAACGTAGTAAGGACATCGGTAAAACAGTCCATGTGACATCAGTGGCTTAACTTCAGTTTTGCAAAGCTACGAGAATACTTTTAGAATGCAAAGAAAACAAAAATAATGACTTTATTCAACAATTCTTCTCCCCCGAGTTACCGTCTTCCGCCATTTTGGAGAGTATCACAATGCATACGCATGCTTTCCCCTAAGTGTATAAAACACTGACTACGCTGGTTACATTCATGTCCCCCCCCCACTGTGCTGATTACATTCTTGGGTACTCTTCAAAATAGCTGAAGACGTAACTCTGGGGAGAAAAATTATTGAATAAATTGTTATTTTTGTTTTCTTTGCACACAAAAAGTATTCTCGTAGCTTCGCAAAATTGAAGTTGAGCCACTGATGGACTGTCACATGGACTGCTTTGCTCTCGATGTCCTTACTACGTTTCTGGACCTGGGAACATTGCAGTTGCGTTGCTGTCTATTGGAGGGTCAGAGAGCTCTCTGATTTAATAAAAAATATTTTAATTTGTATTCAGATGATGAACGAAGGTCTCACGGGTTTGGAACGACATTAGGGTGAGTAATTAATGACAGAATTTTCATTTTGGGGTGAACTAACCCTTTAATCTAATTATATATATTTTGGATACTTTTGACTGTTAAATGTCTTTGAATTGCAATTCAGTTCTTTTTGGTCAGTCGAATGCAAATTCTAGCTCAGCATCCCATGTGACGGGACCAATTAAATGTTGCTTTACCCTGGTTCTGTACAGATATAAATATATATATATATATATATATATATTTGCATATTCTCACACTGAATCCCAAAGCATTTGTAGTTCAGTCTTCAGCCCTCTTGATCAATCATTTCTGGAATCATGTGATTGCGATGACCAAATGCTTTAATAAAGGACCACAGTGTACCAAAGACAGTCTCACCGTCTCTTATCATTGAGCCACTCTCTAAATCCAAAATCACTGATCACAGGATTGAGAAGGAGTGTTTAATTGCTTTCTTATGGGTTTGATGGATCTTGTGTGATAGTTATCTTACATCCCCGAGAGAGATCAGACTTATGTTCATGTAAATTCATGTGCCTTAACATGTCAGTGATAAACTGAGCTCAAGGTTTTCTGCATGAGTGCAGCTCTGCTGTAGTCATTTACATCTCTAATGGACTGTAGTAGAATGATATTTAAATGGACCACAGCAGTAATTACTGACTGTGCTTACACTGCAGTTCATTAACAGAAGAGGATGAGACAATCATGTCCAGATCTGTGTGTGTGAACCTGCCTTAAGGGTCCACATACTTTTTGGGGTCACTGTATGCGGTTGATGTGTTTATTTTGATTGCGTGTGTGGGGTTGCTAAGGAAAACTTATCTATGTTTGAACACCTTTACTCTTCGCTGTTTTCATTCCTTTGTTTTTAAGCCCAGATGATCTCATCTGTTAGGCAAGTTTTCTTTCTGTGAAATTGTCATGACAACAGAGTTTGTGAAGTTAAAATTAGATACAACACAAAGATCAACATTTGGATTCATGCGAATCTCATGATAACATGTAAACTACCAGTCAATTGTCTGGGGTCAGTAAGATTAAAAATAGGCTAATAATAATAAATAATACTTTTATTCAGCAAAGATACATTAAATGTATCAAAAGTGACAGTAAAGGCATTTATAATGTTACAAAACTTTACTATTGCAAATAAATGCTGTTCTTTTGAACTTTCTAATAATCTGTCACCATATATCATGGTAATTCTGACAAACATATATTGTGGCTTAAAATATTAAGCAGCACAACTATTTTCAACATTGATAATAATAAGAAATATTTCTTAAGCAACAAATCAGCATATTAGAATGACTTCTGAAGGATCGTATGAAACTGAAGACTGGAGTAATGGCTGCTGAAAATTCAGCTTTGCATCACAGGAATAAATTAGTTTTTAAAATATAATAAAATACAAAACAGTTATTTTATATTGTAGTAATATTTTATAATATTATTGTTTTTACTGTATTTTTGATCAAATAAATGCCTTGGTGAGCATTAAGCAAAAGCATTAATACATCTTTCTGACTGCAAACGTTCAAATAGTAGTGTATAATGTTTAATATTTATAAGATGTTTTATTTATTTATTTTTATTTTTAAAACACCTGTGTTCCACATGTACTTCTACTGTAAGTGCTTTACTGCAACAGAAGTTTTAGCTTGCTTTAAAAAAAAAAACAAGGGGCATGTCAAACTAAGCTGTCAATTTAAAAAAACAAAACAAAACAAAACATATTTACATTTAAATCTTAAATTGTATCAAACCCTGAACATTCCTTTAAGGTCCTTTTGCGAACACATATCATCTGATAGCTTTTCAATGTCCTTTTGGGGAGGAAAAATATGAGAAAGATCTATGTATACTGTATACACATATATACAGTACATACATATACATTACTCTGTCTGTTGCCCCCTCAGGTAGGGAGGAATTAATAGAGCGAGTGATGCTGTCCTCCATGCTGAACCCAGGTGAGCAGTGGCAGTCCTTCCGGCATCACGGCCGCACATTCACTCTGGAATACCGCCTGCGATTCCGCTGTGACACCAATTACTACGGCCCACTCTGCAACAAACTCTGCCGAGCACGAGATGACTTTTTTGGCCATTTCGACTGTGATCCTTCTGGTACTAAGGTGTGTAAGGAGGGCTGGACTGGAGCAGAGTGCAGACAGGGTGAGTGGCTCCAGCACATTGTCTTTAAATACTGTGGTCTTCAAGCTATTCACACACAAACATAACAACTGATTATTGTTTAAGCCCTGCCCACATTGGTTGCTCACTCATCAGACAAGCTTTACAGAATGTGGTTTAATGTTGTTTAAACAATGTAATTTTCAGTAAAACAAGGTCATGAAGTGAACCAGATTCATTTTTTCTATTCTATTCTATTCTATGTTACAAATCTAGGTAAATTTCAAATTAATACAATTCATTATTATATTATATTATATTATATTATATTATAATGCAAATGTTCAGTAGGTGTTCTTAAAGTGCCCTTAATATGGGTTATGAAAGGTTCATATTTTGGTTTTGGGAGTCCCCAACAACAGGTTGACATGCATGCAAGGTCAAAAAACACTCTTAACAACTAATTTCAATGATTCAGAGTCAATGATTCAGAGTGGACTCTTTCTTTTGAGAGACAATAACTTTATACACGGTGCACTTTCAGATTGAAAACTTAGCAGGATTTTTTCATTCACTTTCAGCTGTGTTACACACTGCATGAAAGGTAATTTTCAAAAATCCATAAAAGGGGCACTTTAAGTCTCGCAGATTGTAAAGATAAAACATGTTCGGCACTTACTCTGTCCTTCTATGACAATTAGATTACAGGAATATTTATTCACATGCTTTTCCAACATTCCATTGAGGCCAAATCCGTTTTCCAGCAGAGAATAACTTAAGGGAGAGAGAAATGTCTCCCCTGAGATGATCAAGGAAGAGCCCATATTACTACCATACCCTAAGTCAAAACATTTAGCAAGCACTATGTTAACAATAGTTAAGTAAGAGGAGCGTCACATCATGACCTGTTGCATTTGGCAATAAATTATGTGTCCATTTTAAAGTATTTGTCTAATTCAGTTATGCATGTTTTGAAAATGTTCCTCTGCACTTTTAAGATGTCTGTAGTGAATAATTTTGATCATCATATCATTAATCTAAATCAATCATCTGTATGCATGTATGGTTATCCTTGTAGCGGTGTGTAAGCAGGGATGTCACTTGGAACACGGCTCCTGCGATCTGCCTGGAGATTGCAAGTGAGTCTGTCCAGGTTTCAGAAATATCACACCCTCTCTACAAGCTCCACCGAGCGCTGATGCATGCCATATTCAGCACCTACTTGCCTTTGTTTGTCTTTTTCTCACTTCCTGTCTGCTGTAACCAATTTCTCTCTCTGTAGATGTCATTATGGCTGGAAGGGTGATCTGTGCGATGAGTGTGAGACGTTTCCTGGGTGTGATCACGGCACTTGCACTGAACCCTGGAAGTGTGTGTGTGACACAAATTGGGGCGGCCTGCTCTGTGACAAAGGTGAGATGACAAGGAAATATGCTGGTGGGTGTGTGTGCAAAAATGACTGTTCTTATTACTAGGGCCATCAATCAGTTTTAAATATTTACTTGTGATTAATCTCATCATTTAACTTTCTATCTTACGTGTAACACAATGAGTTGCTTTTAAAGGAAAAAAAAAATGTGGATGACACTTAGTTGTCCTTAGCTGTAGCTGTAATATATGCGCATATTTAAGGACAGCAGACAGAAGCAGATTTCTACACTTTTCTCACACCCTGTTAACAATGGAAGAGATGATGCTTTACACAGCGTTCACTTAACATAGACCAACAGCTGTAAGCTTGATGACAGCAGTGACATTCATTTTTAAAAGAAACATTAAAAAATTGACTGGTGTAAGCATTATTAAAAATGTTTGTACAACTGTGACTGATCACCAACAAAAGATTATTTAAATTAGTAGACCAAAGACCCAAAATTTCACAAGATGGTTCAATTTGACAGTCAGAAATAATTTAAATATACAGTACACTATACCTTTCAAAAGTTTTGGGTTGTAAGATTTTTAATTTTTTAAAAGAAATCTCTTATGCTCAGCAAGGCTGCATTTATTTGATCAAAAATAAAACTGTAATATTGTGAAATATTACTATTCAAAATTACTGTTTTCTATTTTAACACATTTTAGAAATCTGAATTTTCAGCAGCCATTACTCCAGTCTAATATACTGATATGCAAACATTTCTTATTATGATCAGTTGAACACAGTTGTGTTGCTTAATATTTTTGTGGAAACCGTGAATTTTAGGATTCTTTGATGAATAGGAAGTTTAAAAGAACAGTATTTGGAACAGAAATCTTTTTTTTTTTAACATTCTAAATGTCTTTACTGTCACTTTTGACCAATTTAATGCATTCTTGCTGAATAAAAATATTATTTTCTTTCTTTCTCTCTTTCAAAACAAAACATAAAAAACAAAACTTACTGTTCCCAAACTTTTATAATGAATAAAACTATTAGGGAAAAATACCCAAGATATTTATAAGTTTATTTGAGACAGGTGGCAGGATTTTAAAAAAATGGCTGGAGTAGCCCTGCAACTCATCAGAAAAACTGCCTGACAGATGTTAATAGGAAAACATTTTATTTTATCAGAAATGTTGTCTGCCTGTCAATCATTTTGTGCTGGATTTCTGACAACATCTGTCGTGTCTTTGCAGGGCAGGGTTTTGGAGAGAGGTTGAAAATGAAATGGTTATGTCATATAAAAAAATCATTGGCATTAATAAAATGAAAAGCGGACAACATATTTTATCACACATGCCCACAAATTCTGAGTCATTAGATTGATTGATTCCAAGACATGCTAACTGCTTACTGAGTAGGCAACGTTTGTGTAAATAGATCCAGATTAGCTGATATGAACCCACGCGTGGGGTTTCGTCAGGGCTTTGTAGAGGTGTAAGCCGATAGTCTTGGGTAAACAGAACGTGAGCCGTGAGGTGGAGGCTAAAACAGGCTCTTGCCATTCAACGGTTGTGTGAATGGTACTGTCACACCCTCACACAGACATAAATATATACACACACACACACACACACGAAGGACTAAACCTATGCAGACAGATGAATCGAGGTCATAAAACTGTAGATACTAGCTTGATCTCAATTGCTTTCACAAACACACATACACACACACACACACATTTCCTCTAAACTCAGATCTCAGGAGCCAGTATGCAGGCTGCATCATTTTCCATCATAGCACTGGTTTTAATTTGTGTGTCTATTTGTATGTTGTGGTTATAATTCTTCCAGTTAAGCATGCTTGCTTGTTGTGGGTAAATCTTCAGGAATCAATCCATTTGAGTTTAACTCATCCCTTCAAGCATGACCTCGTAGGAATTCTTGGTTAGATTTTGTATGATTTATAAAGTAAACTACACTTAAACAAAGTCTGAGACGTCAAATTCAATTTGTGTCTAGACCAAACTGGCATTTTGTGTAACCCCATGAGTCTGAGCTTGAAATTATTGTTTAGAAAATCCTTTTCCTACAAGCAACCGTTCCCAGTGGTACATGTACATTTTAGGGACATATGGATGGAAAGGGGTGAAAGTGCAGGTCACATGTGTTCTTATTACAGATGTTGGTATATTGTAGTGCTGGAAGTGGTGGCATGTGGATCAGGATTGGATTCCATCTGTTTGCACATAGCTTAGTACTTTTTGAGTCAGTTTTAAATGTAATAAAGGTTTTTCTTACAAATCATTTAATACTGATTTGTATGTTTGTGTGTATAGGCGTTTTTATATAATCTGAGTAAGAAAACAGTCCTTTGAATCACGTGGCTTTAATTTGGCCAAAGTTTGTTGGAGGGCTGTTTATTTTTCTTTTTTGCTGCAAGGAAAAATTAAATGATGATACATTTGCATTGGTTTTGTCTTTACCACAATTTTGTTTTTTATTTCTTAAGTCAACATGAAACAACCCAGTGTATTACCATAATGTGACATTTGGTGAAACAGAATATTTAACAAGAAAAAATGTGTGACGAGACTTGATTTTATCCGTCAGGAATTGATTGGATCATGGAAAATGGATGTTTGATACTAAATTTTGCAATCACCACTGTACTGGTTGAGAGTAAAGTGGCTCTGCTGGTAAAGCACAATAATAAGTGTGTTCCATAGTCTAATTCTTGCTCTTCGTAACACAAAACAACACTACACTACACAACTAGGATTCTCATGACATAAATTTTAGTGAAACATTGCCAGTTACATCATTTCAGCATGGCGAAATACTATTACTAGTACTACTGAAAACTATACAGTACAGTGTTCAACTCATGTGAGTGTACACCACTCAGATAAACCCTTTACAACAGCACTATTTATTTCTTAATGCATAAAATGTTTTATATTAGCACCAATACAATTGAATGCACTTTTCAGAAAGGTTAATTTTCATTTAGTGTCGACTTGAATTTGCCTTTTTAAAACACATCAATTTCAAGATAATAAATTGTCAGATTTTCCTAACCGCAAAAACATCTCTTTCTCTTTTGCATACAGATCTGAATTATTGTGGTAACCATCAGCCATGCAAGAACGGTGGTACATGTACCAACACTGAACCCAACGAGTATCTGTGTGTGTGCCAGGAGGGTTTCCGTGGCCGCAATTGTGACATCGGTGAGATGACTCTATAAAACACAACCATAAAGTCTGTCAACCCTGACAGCCTATTACAAGCACACCTCAAAGATGTGCTGTGCGAGAATAAAATCTGCAGAATGTTGTCACTCCTAGATGAAGCACGGCATGTTATAAGCTCTTATTTTTCGCTGTGCCACCCTGCATGAGTCTGACCAATTATCTCCTCGGTAATGATAATTTAGTCTGTGTTAACGTGATCTCTGATGTAGCTCTGTGAGGTGTTGATAAGAGATAAATTTACAGCAAGACTGCTCTGGAGTTTGAAGCATCAAACCAAGAATCACTGTAAGATGACAAATACAGATAACAACAGCTTAAAATACGCACTCTTATGTTCAATGTTGAAGTGAGCCTTTTCTGCTCCAAACAAATTAGAGCTATACAATAAGCACTTTTGATACAGGTGGTGATAGCACAGGATATAAGACACAGATGTGTATCATTTCCTCTGATTCCCTTAACAGTGGAGCACGCCTGTCTCTCCTCTCCATGTGAGAATGGTGGAACATGTGTTGAAGACCCAACAGGCTTTAGCTGCGTGTGTGCGCAGGGCTGGACGGGACCTTCCTGTGCCTCCGGTAGTTAAGCATATAAACGCACACACACCTGCACCGACTGCAATCAGCACCAATCAAATGCAACTGCTATTTCCTGTACTGCTGCAGCCAATTTTAGTCAGATCTACACCAAAATAATGCTCCTTAACTGCAGCACAAACAATCAGCAATCACACACACGCACATCTAGGATGCAGAGGTGATCATGTGTCTCAGAGATCAGGCTGTAGGAGCTCCTCAGGTTTGAGGACATTGGTTGACTGTTTTAAGGCCAGTGCAGTGTTTTTACAGGGTCTTGTCAGTTTAGGCATGGCCTAATTCATTAAGTGAATTAGGACTGACACTAATACCCCCCAAAAATGGCCTGTTTTTAAACTGATGGAACCATATATTTTTTAGACTCACTAGTATAGTGGTCAATATTTTGTTTAGCATGCAAGGAGACCTGGGTTTAAATTGCAATCTGATAAATGCATTTAAAAAAAGTAAAACTGTTTATTGAAAAGATTTTGACATTTTCAAAAATGTTTGTTACACAGGGATAAAGTCATGCAAGTTTTGGTTGCATTGAGAGCAGATACATGATAGACATGTCAGTTTAAAACAAAATAGTTTTAGAATGTGGGATTCAAAGGAACTGACTCAGAAGTGATTTAGATGTTAACTTGTTTCTTCTGTCGCAACGTCTTAAACTTTTTTTAAACAATAACCAAGCAAATTATCCAAGACGTATTAAGGGCAAGAAAGATGGGAAGACAGACGGACGGACGGACGGACGGACGGACGGACGGACGGACGGACGGACGGACGGACGGACGGACGGACGGACGGACGGACGGACGGACGGACGGACGGACGGACGGACGGACGGACGGACGGACGGACGGACGGACAGACAGACAGACGGACAGACGGACAGACTGATAGACGGATGGATAGATGGATGGATGGATGGAGGAATGGATGGATGGATAAACAGATAGATAGATAGATAGATAGATAGATAGACGGACGGACGGACAGACAGATAGATGGACAAACAGACAAGAGGATAGATAGATAGATAGATAGATGAATAGATGGATAGATAGATAGATAGATAGATAGGAGGATGAACAGATACAAGAGATGGAGGGAGCGATGAACAGATAGATGATAACAGCAGGATAGTTAGGCAGACAGGAGGATGCGTAGATACAGTTGCTGGATGGATGAACAGATCCGTAGATTTAAAGGCAGTGAAATCACATGATGAGACAGAGAACATGTTCTTTTCGTCTGCAGCAGTGTTGCAGTGTGACTCCAATCCTTGTGGGCGCGGGGCCACGTGTCAAGAGATGCCACAGGGTTTCCAGTGTGTGTGTCCTCCGTTCTGGACCGGCAGAACCTGCCAGCTCGGTAAGCATTAAAAACAACACTCTTCGCCTGTCCTGAGCCATTCATACATGTCCACACATGCCTAACTCGGCCTTACGCTCGTACCCATCCACAGCCTCACCTGACGAAACCTGCCGCTACCTGCCTAAACTTGTCACAGTCTGTTTTTACCTGTCTGTAATGTGAACACGTGTTCTTTCTTGTTTATGCCTGGGTTCCTCACCTCACTTCAATGGTTCATGGACTAGAAAGTCACCAAGGAATTAAATCTTATGAAACCATGTAAAAAATATTACAGAAACCATGAGACCACCACCATGTTTGCCTCTTGAAACCACCAAATCATAACAATCGTATCCAGAGATGGGAAACTCAGCTTTCTGGGGAAAGTAAACACATCTTGTGTTTATAAATTCCATATCAGCACAAGCCACATTGAAATGATTCAGCAGCATCAGTGCTCCACCGACCATTATCCGTTAAACCACATCAGACAATTTCATGCAACAGTGTGCAGTGGATTTAATTGCTGAATGAAGAGGACCGGTGGTCGGATGTTGTTGACTGCTGGGAGAGTCTCTCTCACACTTCATTGCCCCGGGGCTCAAATCAGCTGTGGCTCTCTGGAGTGTATCATTCTCTCTGAACTGTTGACGCTCTGTGAAATGCAGTCATGTGTCACAGTGACACCTCAGAAAACAGCCGTTAGCGTCAGCACAAAGAGATCTGTCTTTGAGAGCGAGATGTGTGTTTTATCGGAGTCGTATGGAGATGGCAACTGTGGGTAGAAGCAATATTTTCTGGAGTATTTTATTAGGAACAATTTAAGTGAAAACCTAAGAGTCAGATTGTCCTAAAAGTTTAGGGTCAGTAATATATATATTTTAAAGAAATGTATAATTGTGTTCTGTAGGAATGCATTCAATTGATCAGAAGTGACAGTAAAGACATTTATAATGTTACAAAAGATTTCCATTTAACGTAAATGCTGTTCTTTTGAACTTTCTACTCATCAAAGAATACTGAAAAAATGCATCTGTTTCCACAAAAATGTTTCCGCAACTGTTTTCAACATTGTTAATAATAAATGTTTCTTGAGCAGCAAGTCAGCATATCAGAATGATTTCTAAAGGATCATGTGACACTGAAGACTGGAGTAATAACTGCTGAAAATTCAGCTTTGCCATCACAGGAATAAATTACATTTTAAAATATATTAAAACTGAAAACAGTTATTTTATCATTTAATGTTATTTTAAAATATTACCGTTTACTGTATTTTTGATAAAATAAATGCTTTTAAAAACTCTTTTAAAAACATTTAAAATCTTAACAAACCCAAACGTTTCAACGGTAGTGTATATCATTATTATTATTATTACTACTACTAAAATTTGATTGGACGAGCTATGTTGATAGCTGTGCCTGCATATTAATTGAAATTTTTGTTAATTTGTCAAGCACGTGATTTTTTATTTTATTTTAGCCACACGTTTGGCTAATTAACTGTTATTTGTGTTCATTAATTATAATTATCATGCAATTATTTATTGAACGCTACTTCATTTTGTACCAAACGTCATCTTTCAACCATAGTAAAGTCCCTCTCAGCTACCTATTATTTTTCTCTTTTTTTTTTAAATAGTATGTTTAACCTCATTATATGCGTATTTCATTCTTTGAGGAAATAAACATGGTTGTTTTGCATCCAATCTTACATAAAATGTCTAAAATAACTATTGTCAGTTCAAAAAAAAAAAATGCTAAAATTTGTGGTTGATATTACTTTCACTTCATTAGTTATACTGTAAATTGGAGGTCATGTTGAGTGCATGGCAGTGTGGGATACATGTACCCAGCTCATTATGTTCTGTTGTATACTGCACGTTTTGGCAAACAGAAGGTCATCTGGGTATTGCATTTCATGAAATTTGCATGCAATACCAATTGTACTTATGTACTGCAGATATAGTAGTATGGTGGTGTGCTAAATATAGCCTCACTTCATCACTGTGATTCTTTCCTCTTCCTTAGACACTAATGAATGTGAGACTGGCGTGTGTGTCAATGCCCGTTCCTGCCGTAATCTGATTGGAGGATATTTGTGTGACTGCCTTCCCGGTTGGTCGGGACCAAACTGTGACATCCGTGAGTATTAGATATGGTTTTCACTGAACCAGAAAAGAAAGAAAAAAAAAACACGATTTAGCTTTTAAATCAAACATGACAGTTCCAGTGCTGGTGGGAAATGACTTCAGGGTGAACTCGTTGTGAGTTTGTTCCTACCGCGGTCTGCTCACACAATCATTGTAGATTCATACTTTATTGATGAATGCAGTTAGCTAGTCTCTTTCTTCAGTGAAACTTGTGGGTTTCCACTTGGTTGGCTATTGATTTTTTTAAATATCATCTATTCAGCAGGGAACAGTAGCTGCCAGGGCTTGTGTCTGAATGGAAGACACTGTAAGGTAAGAAGTGATTCACCTCGATAAGCTTACTTGCACCTCCAGGATGTGAAGTTTCTTTGACATTTAAGCAGTTCTCCTTCAGTACAGCTAACCTGTGTGTGCTATGTGCAGGACTCTCAGTGTGTGTGTTTGCCGGGTTTCTCTGGTAAACTGTGCCAGACAGCAGTAAACGCCTGTGACAGCAACCCTTGTGTAAATGGAGGGCAGTGTGTGGAGCGTCAGGGTGGCAGAGGCATGTTCTGCAGCTGCCCGCTGGGATACACTGGCACCAACTGTGAGGTGAGATCTTGCTGCTTTTTCTTCACCACAATTTAAGCAGTTCTTTCAGCTGAAAATGCGTAACATCCGCATGAACTGGAAGCAGCGACTGACATCAGCAATTTGGCGAATTCCGGAGTGAAATGTAAAATTGAATGAGAATGCTTGATTTTAGCGCACATCCTCGCAGCTCTACCTTGCAGACTGGAGGTTGGATGGGAGTGATTAAGAATTGGTTAACTCCGCAGTGTCGTGATACGTCATATTCACAAAGCAGCAGCGATGAGAGAATGCGCTTGAGAAACCATTTAGAGAGGAGAAATCAATCTAAAATATTGGTAACTTTCTAAATAATTAAAGTATAGTGCATCTACTAATAATGAAATATAAATAAATCATTTTTTTACCGATGCATGTATGTTAGAAACAATGCCAACTTGTATCCGATGCACACTTATTTAAATCGATGCTCACATTGTTAAGTTTTAGGCCGATGCACCAATGCGAATCTGTTCACCTAAAAATAGACAATTCTCGCCATCGTTTACTCATCCTGTAGTTTTAAAGCTTGAGATTCATTGTAATTGCTTGGAAAAGAGCAACTAAATTTTATATGTAAAAGATTGTCTTTTTGTGCTCCACAAAAAAAGTCATAAAGGTTTACAACAAACTACTCACTTAACCCACAGATTTGCAGTCTTACATGACTTTTATGGTACTGTTGACTGGAATGTACTACACAACTAAAACTAAAAGTCTGAATAGATTTTCAAACACTAGGCATTATACGCTTGGTGACATTGAAAATGGTTACAGAGAAAAACTGGGCATCATACACTAAATACACTACCAGACTTTCAAGTTGTTCTGAATACATACAGAAACGTGTGCCTTATTTCTATGAGATGTGACAACTGAAAACAAAATTGACTCAAAATATCAACCATATTCAATATATTCTGACTGCATGGAAACTAAAAAAAATCTGACTGTGCCCATCTTACACACAATTTTTTGAGTAATCTGCCAACTCCGACTACCTAAAATCTGCAGACTGCCTCTGACTTTCCGCAACTAGCATCAGCCAATCTAGACTGCAAATCAGGGTGAGAATCTAGGCAAAAGTCATGAAGTATATATTCCAACCTTTACATTGTTTAAATGTACAGCACTGTATATTTGCATGCTCAATTGTGCTTTTTCTTTTCTTGCATATATTTGCATACTGAATATTAATGGGCATTATAATTCTTGCATCTATTTAGTCATCTATAGCTACACCTAAAACTTTATCATTACCATTATCATTTTGCTGCCTTGTAAATGCTAACATAGCATGGAAATGCAAATCTAATTAATACATTTGTGACTTGTGTTGTGTATAGTTTCTGAATTAATCAGTATTAAGACTCTGTGTTCATTCTTTAATACCCAGTGAAATTAAATACAGTTCTTATATTTTAGGCAGAACTTGATCTTTGTAATCCCAACCCCTGCCCCAAGGGGGTGCCATGCCATAGTACAGAAGGAGGCTACAAGTGCACATGTCCTGAGGGTTACTTTGGAAATGAGTGCCTGAGCCTGAAGGATCCATGCCATGAACCCCACTGCCAAGGTTTGGGGCATAAATATTGAGCATAAAAAGGTGAATAGCACTTCTTTAGCATGATCTATCTCTGCCTCTCTTTCTATTCAGGTGCAGTGTCAGAACCAGGTGGAGCTGGGTTCAGTGTTTATATGGTGTTGGTGGGGGTATTTGCCCTGCTTGTGGCAGGCAGCTGCTCTGTGTGCGCTCTACTGCTGTCCCGCCTGCACCGCCGCCACCGGACCAAAGCGCAGCTACGTTCTTCAGCGCCCGAGGACAACGCTATCAACAACCAGCGGCAGTTCTGCACTCTCATCCGTAACCTCGACCACAGCGTGGCCCTGCTGCCTCCTGCCCAAACAGTGCCCACCTCAGTGCCCACTGTGCTCTGCAGTGAAGAGATTGAACTTACACTTCCTCCCTCTCCAGCTCTAAAACCAGCCCACGGGCCCAAGATGGACATTTGCAACCGCGAACGGGAAAAACTAAACCGTTTCCACTATGCAGAGAACCAGGAACTGGAGGTGTGACCGCACTTTGACCGCTGGGAAGGTACCGGACTTCTTAGTTGGGAGGGTCTGTTGTGGTTGATGTATCTTAATCAACCTCTGCTGGTGAACCTTGACCTCTGAGCTCTGCGTTATAGAGATCTGAGAGGGTTGAAACTGGGAAGGGAATTTTGGCACAGTCACGGGCTGAAGAAACTGACAGGCCAGGTCCAAAATTTTAACACACTTGCCAATGGTGGGTAAACTGAGAATATTTAACAGCCATAAATATGTCCAATCAGTCATGAAACTATATTTATTTTCATAAAATTCCTTTATTCTTATAGAGTTTGTTTTTAGAAATGTTTTCCCATTTTAATTATTTAACTTTTTTCATGAGATGAAACTGCACTGCACATAAAAATGTAATATAACAAAATATGTGACCCTGGAGCACAAAAGCAGTCATAAGTAGCACAGGTATATTTGTAGCCAACAATACATTGTATGGGTCAAAATTATCGATTTTTCTTTTATGCCAAAAATCATTAGGATATTAAGTAAAGATCAAGTTCCATTAATATATTTTGTAAATTTCCTACTGTAAATATATAAAAACTTAATTTTTGATTAGTAATATGCACGGCTAAGAACTTAATTTGGACAACATTAAAGGCGATTTTCTCAATATTTAGATTTTTTTGCACCCTCAGATTTCAGATATTCAAATAGTTGTATCTCGCCCAAATATTGTCCTATCCTAACAAACCATACATCAATGGAACGCTTGTATGTATAAATCTCAATTTCAGACAAATTAACCTTATGACTGGTTTTGTGGTCCAGTGTCACATATGGCATCACAAAATTCTGGTCTTGATGATCATTGCATGTTCGAGGACATGCAAGTCGCGACTTATTTAGTAGACAGTTTGATTTTAATCGCTCACGTAATTTACATCAGTAAGGATGAGATTATCAAATGTAAAATTTAGTTTAAAACATTTACTTTATTTACCCCCAAGCCATTTTACACACATTTTGCACTTGGCGAGTGTTAATTTTGGACCCTGTCTGGTCCCTTGAAATATGTATTTGAAAGAACAGTAAGTGTTTTTAAGGCCAGCAATTCAACTTCTTTGAATCCTGGATATTTAAGTGTATTTTAATGTGTTTACACTTGTGCCCTATATATTTGTACACATTTGTTTGATTGTTAGTGTGCATGTGTTTGTGAGCGTGTAAGTCTATATGTATGACTGTGTTTGTGGACGGTTTGCCATAAATTTCCACAAAGCCATGCACATTATTGGAACTCCCTCACTTTTTTTTTTTTTTTTTACTTATGTAAAAACCGTATATTAGTGTCTGTGATTGACATTTGAAGGAATTATGGCGAAAGATAGCAGCGCCGACTGAAAAAGTGCCAGGTGACATGTTGGAGATGTACAAGATGTATGATTTTTATATTTTACTTGGATGTATATAGTGTCATTGTACATATTTTGTACATAATTTTTGCCACTTTTGTATGCTGACTCCTTGCAAAATATCGCCATTTTAATTTCCTGGTTTCACTATTTCCACTCAATATGGTATTTGCCGCAAGATCGAATTGTAATTAAAGTGCATATATCAACCAAAGCATGTGTTTCTGTGCGTGTATGCATTAATGATAGTGTACAGCATTTGGTACAGCATAAGGTGTGTGTGTTTGGTAATCTTGTTCTGTATTACTGACGCTTCCTTATTGTCTAATTGCCATTTGGTAAGCTGTGTGAAGTAAATAAAAGGAAATTTGGTCACAGAGTGTCCTGCTCCTAACAGCAGTTTGCTGTATGTGTCAGTGAGTCAGTGTTCACTTTCATGTTCACTACCTCCAATATTATAGCATGTGAATTATTTTATTTTGTGGGCAGATTTTTTTTCTTTGTTCCAGTCTGCTACTTAGCATTAGTACGTCCGATTTAACAAAATAATTTTTGTTTGGATAGTTAAATTCAATGAACTGTTTATGGATTCATCACTCAAATGTGTTCCTTAAAAAAAGGTAGTGAGAAATTGTATTTGTTAAACTAGATTGAAAAGTTTGTAGACAAACTTTAAGTTGGCTTGAAAAAGCCTAGCTTTAAAGTTTTAAAAAGTTGCAGTCTGAAAGTTTTCAGTTTGAAGTAGTTTGAAAGTTAAAATAGTTTTAAAGATTAAAGTTTGAATGTTTTCAAGGCAATACAGTCTATCAGAAAAAATAATTGCCATTTGGTAAGCTGTGTGAAGTAAATAAAAGGAAATTTGGTCACAGAGTGTCCTGCTCCTAACAGCAGTTTGCTGTATGTGTCAGTGAGTCAGTGTTCACTTTCATGTTCACTACCTCCAATATTATAGCATGTGAATTATTTTATTTTGTGGGCAGATTTTTTTTCTTTGTTCCAGTCTGCTACTTAGCATTAGTACGTCCGATTTAACAAAATAATTTTTGTTTGGATAGTTAAATTCAATGAACTGTTTATGGATTCATCACTCAAATGTGTTCCTTAAAAAAAGGTAGTGAGAAATTGTATTTGTTAAACTAGATTGAAAAGTTTGTAGACAAACTTTAAGTTGGCTTGAAAAAGCCTAGCTTTAAAGTTTTAAAAAGTTGCAGTCTGAAAGTTTTCAGTTTGAAGTAGTTTGAAAGTTAAAATAGTTTTAAAGATTAAAGTTTGAATGTTTTCAAGGCAATACAGTCTATCAGAAAAAAGATAGGTATAAAACCTATTGCTAGGGTACCTGGGGTGGTCGCTAGGCTGTTTCTAGCATGACTAACATGTTGCTAACATATTTTTTAGCATGATTAGCATGTTACTAGCATGTTGCTAGCATGATTAGCATGTTATGAGCATGTTTCTAACATGGTTAGCATTTACTAACATGTTTCTAACATAATTAGCATGTGGTTAGCATGATTCTAGCATGGTTAACATGTTACTAGCATGGTGTTAGCATTTTGTTAGCACAATTAGCAAGTTAATAGCATGTTTCTAGCATGATTATCATGATACTAGCATGATTCTAGCATGATTAGCAAGTTCCAAGCATATTGTTAACATGATTAACAAGTTAATAACATTTTGCTAGCATGATTCTAGCATGATTAGCATTGTTAACTATCATGATTAGCATGCTACTAGCATGATGCTAGCATGTTTCTAACATGTTTAACAAGTTGCTAGCATTTTTTAGCATGTTTAACAATTTGCTAGCATGTTTCTAGCATGATTAGCGAGTTTACTAGCATGATTAGCATGTTACTAGCCTGGTGTTAGCATGATTAGCATGTTACTAGCATGTTGTTAACAAAATGAGCAAGTTACTAACATGTTGCTAGCATGATTAGCATGTTACTAACATGGTGTTAGCATGATTAGCAAGTTACTAGCATGTTTCTAACATGATTAGCATGTAACTAGCATGTGTTATCATGATTAGCATGTTATTAGCATGTTACTAGCATGTTGTTAGCATGATTAACAAGTTACTAGCATGTTGTTAACATTATTAACAAGTTACTAGCATGTTGCTAGCATGATTAGCATGTTGCTAGCATGTTTAAAGGTCTAAGAGGAGATACATTTTAAAATTTGGTCTCGAAGAAGAAGAAGAAGAAGTAGTAGTAGTTTAAATAGGATTTCAGTAAGTTGGCTTTTTCAAGCCAACTTAATTACAAATACGTTAAAGGGGTCATATGATGTTGCTAAAAAGAACATTATTTGGTGTATTTGGTGTAATGAAATGTGTTTATGTGGTTTAAGGTTCAAAAACACATTTTCCACATACTGTACATTATTGTTTCTCCTCTATGCCCCGCCTTTCTGAAACGTGTCGATTTTTACAAAGCTCATCGGTCAGAAAA